AGAGAGAGAGAGACAGAGAGAGAGAGAGAGAGAGAGAGAGAGAGAGAGAGAGAGAGAGAGAGAGATCCATGCATGTATGGCTTAAATCAACTTCATGTTGACAAAATTAACATTGTTGACTTTTTACTAGTATGAAGAAGACATAATTATAGGGTCATAGATGTATGTGGAACATCATCCTCTCTGGTGGAGTAAAATTGTTATTTAAAACCTTGTAAGCAGTAAGCTGTCGTGCATTCTGCATGATTCTCTGATCGGAATTTTTAGATCAGTTACTTTCAGGGCGTATACCCGTAGTGGCTTCAAAATCTCAAGGGCGAGCCAGTGTTAAATTTGACGCCCCACAGAGTTATTTTGACACTGGCGCCCCAACCCCCTAAATCTGGTTCTTGGGCCTCGCACAACTAATGAAGTCCGGGAGCGTGACTTTTGGCATTTTCAGGCTTCAAATTTCAAACTGCGGGAAATGTTTGAAATTTGAAGCCTGAAAATGCCATTTCCTGCATTCTAAACGTCGAATTTCTAACAAAAATGTCTTCTAACGAAGCCGTATTTTAAATAAAAACTATAAACAAACAACAAAAATGTAATATGGTAATCAAATGTCATATAGGAATTTTAATTTAGAAACTTAAATTTTAGATCCCTTCTTGATGATTTTGGCGCCTCAACTGCATTTCGGCACCCCCCCCCCCCCTTTTGCCTACCAAAAGTACAATAGAACATTTTAAGTTCAATGTCTGAGCAGCGCTGTTACTTCAGTCATGGAGTTTTTTACTTACTCGCATGTGGTTTCATAAAGGTAGTTGTTCCATCCAGCATCCCAGTTGATTTTTTTCTTGAAGTTGTGGAGAAATTCATTCAATGGCCGTTTGTTGTTATTCGCTTTTGTTGCTCCAGTATCCTTGAAACATCCTCTTTTGACCATTCTAACATCACACTTAGAGTGTTGAGCAGTGATTGTACGACCTATATTGCATGAAATGAAATATATGCAGTCAGCCTCTAAATATAGAAATCCTTCCCTGACTTAAGCTCAAAAATTTACCAACGCATTTAACCGCAAGTTACACGGCGCTAATGCTAATTAGTTTGTTATTTTGGCGTAAACTTTTGCTAGCTTTTTGCAACACTTCCCATCAATACTTGCTATCGTCATCTATACATGATATTTGATACATGACCAGAAATGTCAAAAGGTTATCCCTTTATTTTTCTTCGTCAAAATAATTAAGCACCAATATATTTGCATATTTAATTAAAGTTAAAAGCTATACTTTAGTACTTTACGTAAATTAAAGCATAACAGAATAAAAAGGCCTGTTCCTTAAGTAAAATTCTGCACAGGTGTTTTTCCTCGAACTATATGTTAAACTTTCTTTTGATATTTAATGGATTTTGTCATTGTTTTGTGAAAGTGATCAAAACGTAAAAAATAAAAATAGACTGTAAATACTAAATAGGTTAAACACGGATTGCAAACTATACCGTTGACGGATTGAAAACGGCCATGCATTGCATTGCATTGCATTGCATTGCGGCCATTCAGTCCATTTTACGGGCCAACTAGTATATAGAGTATAGAGTATAGTTCGTTTTCAATGGCGACACAGTACGTAACATTCTATTTAATAAAGTTTCGAATATAAATGCGTATATTGCCATTATTATACAAAGAAACGAATTAAAAGCTATATAAATATTTTTATAAACTAAAAGTCAGTGAATAAACTTATACTGCATGTGATCTGTTATCTATCACGCTAACAATTATCGCCATCAAATCACCCACCGGAGATTTTTCTGTCATGTTTTCGTCGGACAAGCTCCCAAAATTCACGAATAAACAGTTCATGATGTTTTTTGTTAGAAAGAATTTGCAGGACATTAAGGAACTTTGTCCATAATTGAATACATGTGCAGTCGTTGTTACTATTTATGGTGTTATATAATTGCATGTGTTTTTAAATTAATTATGAGATGTTATATAGTATTTATGTAATATTATGGGCTTTACCCAGGCAATAACTTGCCACCGTGGCACGAGCCGTTTAATTTAATTATTACTATGAATACGCAATTATATGTAATAGCCTATTATGTATATATAAATGCTTTATTATTTCAACTTGAAAATGATGCATGAATGACCATCGAAACGTAGTTGTAAAATAAAACTTATACCACGCTTATACATTTGTTGCAAATTTCCAATACGTTTTTGATTAGATGACTGCATGCAGTCTGCAGATCAGTGTTACTGAAATTAAATTTTGGACTGTTGAAAGATGTTAATATATTTTAATTTTAGAGTGATTATAGGGCCTATATCAAACAAATAATATATATGGAATATCAAAGTGATTATAGTCATACGAGTATATCTTTTTCGCAAGAATCAATGTAACACTATATATATACTACTATTATATAGAGAATATAATACATGGAATGCGCGGAAATACCAGATTTATTTCGAGTGTTGAACATGATATCTCACGAGTGAGCACAGCGAACGGGTGAGATATCATGTTCAACATGAGAAATAAATCTGGTATTTCCAAGCACCCATGATGTATTTTCTGTTTATTATATAAAGGACAGTCTTTGAAAAGCGATAATTTTTACAGAAAAACGATCATTGAAAAGCGATAATTTTCACATGTGAGATTATCATGAATAATATCACATGTGAGATTATCACTTTTATCAGTGTTTGAAATCTCTATAAAGCACTATATATAATAATAAAATACTTTATTATATAGTAGAGAGTGAGATACTGAGAAATTCACAGTGACACTATTTTCCATATCTTCACCAGTGAAGATATCGATCACGTGACTATTAGTATATATACTACTATTATAAATTATAATATTTGAATGCTGTTCTTAGGGTTTGTAATCCAAGTGAGTATATATATACATTTTAAGACCTGACCAGGAACGACTGCGAAAAATGCAGCACAAGGTCCTCTGGTAGGAATTGAACCTACGGCCCTGCGATTCTGGTGCAGCGCTCTAACCAACTGAGCTACAGAGGCCAGCTGTTGAGCTGTAACCGTAAGTTCATGTATATATAGGTGATCGGGTGTGCGGGTTGAGATAAGGTGGACTTCAATGATCTGGTTTCTTGCACTTCACTTGGTGGTATTAATATTTGAATGCTGTTCTTAGGGTTTGTAATCCAAGTGAGTATATATATACATTTTAAGACCTGACCAGGAACGACTGCGAAAAATGCAGCACAAGGTCCTCTGGTAGGAATTGAACCTACGGCCTGCGATTCCGGTGCAGCGCTCTAACCAACTGAGCTACGGAGGCCAGCTGTTGAGCTGTAACCGTAAGTTCATGTATAAATAGGTGATCAGGTGTGCGGGTTGTGATAAGATGGACTTCAATGATCTGGTTTTTTGCACTTCACTTGGTGGTATTAATATTTGAATGCTGTTCTTAGCTCAACAGCTGGCCTCTGTAGCTCAGTTGGTTAGAGCGCTGCACCGGAATCGTAGGGCCGTAGGTTCAATTCCTACCAGAGGACCTTGTGCTGCATTTTTCGCAGTCGTTCCTGGTCAGGTCTTAAAATGTATATATATACTCACTTGGATTACAAACCCTAAGAACAGCATTCAAATATTAATACCACCAAGTGAAGTGCAAAAAACCAGATCATTGAAGTCCATCTTATCACAACCCGCACACCCGATCACCTATATATACATGAACTTACGGTTACAGCTCAACAGCTGGCCTCTGTAGCTCAGTTGGTTAGAGCGCTGCACCGGAATCGCAGGGCCGTAGGTTCAATTCCTACCAGAGGACCTTGTGCTGCATTTTTCGCAGTCGTTCCTGGTCACGTCTTAAAACGTATATATATATACTCACTTGGATTACAAATGTCAATGTTAAATAACATAGTGGGATATTATGGGGGGAGGGGGGGGCTTATATTTGGAATGAGGTGAGCATTATATTCAGAGGTTTACAGTTGAAAAAAGCTTGTATTTTCTTGTCATAGACACACATTTCTGGGTGCATATAGAACAGCTTAAACGTCAGGTTCTCATGTCTATCCAATGGTAATTTGATATCGCTGCCATCACCATAATATAGTGTAGCACAGACATACCCACTACCTAACCCGCGAACAGGCATACTCTGGGAACGAGATTGTACAAACCACAGATATTTCTTGTGACTGTTGTGAATCGGTACGGAAAAATAGGTGTCTTGGAGATCTAACTTCATCATGAAGTCTCTTTTTTTTTTCCTTTTTTTTTTAATTAATATTTAATTCCAGGAAGCTTTCTCACAAAGTGATTTTCAGAAAGGTCCTGAACTAAATAAACTATTATATAAGGAAGACATGCATATACTACATAACTATGAAAAATATTAAAAAATTATACGAGGGAAAGTTCAAAGATTGCTAAAAAGTTTCTCTTAAATGTAGAAATACTAGTAGATAGTTTTATCTTTCTGTCCAAGTTGTCCAAGTTGTCCAAGTTGTTGTTTTCTCCTGGTTGGATCAGTTTGCGTACTGCTTCCAGACCTTCCATCTTGAACTTCTGAGATTGGACAAAGCGATTGAAATTCTTTAAATTGAAAATTGGCCTGTCCTTGGACACTTGTTTCACTATGAACAGTGTTGAAGTGAATTGGTTTGTCTCCTCCTGTACAGCTTTTACTGCACCTTTCGCTTGGAGTTGTAATATGGCTTCTTCCCTCTTTCGACTTTGCTTTCGCTTGTCTCTGCCTCCACTGTATGGGTTGCCGAACAAAGGGAATTTTGTACCCTTGAACTATGGATAGCATCCAGGGATTTGATGTAATTAGTGTCCATTTTGAATAAAATTGTTTGATGCGGCCTGCTACAAGATTGTCCGTTGGTTTGATGTCTTTTAGTGTTGGTAGCTGATAGTCAGCTGCGTTTTGCGTGGTTTCCACGTTTTGCCCAATAGGGTTTGTTGTTGTTTGGATTCTTTCTGAATGAGTTGTTATGTTGCGGTCGGGTAAAATTAGATCGCTGGAAGGATAGGTCACGAAAGGGCTGGTCACGAAAGGACTTGTTGGTTCGAAAACGCCCTCTGGAGGAGAAAAACCTTTGAGGTTTGGTTGATTATGCCACTATTTTGCGATTGGTATTTGCATGATCATATTCCTCTTTAATTACATTATGAAATTGCTCGGGGAACAGGTACTTGTCAGCTGGAATTTGGTCTTTCAGGGTACGCTTACCCACATCCGTTAAGGTAATTCCGCAGTAATTGTTCCCGAAATGAGAATGTGCTGAAACTTCCCAGGCATGGAGTTTATTATATACTTAAAGTAAAATCACACAAAAAAGTCGGGGTCACCGAACTCGTTAAGAAGGTATGACAATCACAATATACCACCTTTAGCCCAATATGGCGCCATCTTGACGCTCATTACGAGTAACAGCAAAATCACAACAGCCCGATATTTATTGACGTTTTTAGCGCGGATTTTGCTTTTGTAAACTTATCTTGTAATTATTTTTGGAAAAATATTGTGTTTTGAGCAAAATGAAACTACTAATGTGTACAATTCTGATCTATAAATGTTTTTTCCACATTTCTTTACATATCTTTCTTGGAGAACATGCATTGATAAAGGATTTTTTTTTCAAGATCCAGAAATGATTTTTCTTTCAATTTCGGATATGAAATGTAAAATGCATTAAAGAAATAAATTATCAGTTAAAAAACGGGGTCACCGATCTTTTTAGGGAATTGTGGCATTAAAACGTGAAATACAAGTAAATAAATATACTACAGACACAGGGAACCCTAGCTACACTTTTGTATGCCTTTTTTGAAAACATTGATTTTAACGTAATTCTTTGCACGAACGTAACCAAAGATGTTTTGAAGTAACATAAAATTGTCATAAAATGATTTTTTTAAACGGTATACGTATAATGGATGAAATTATAAGTTATAAGATGTGCGCAGTAAAAGTGCGCAATGCAAAACTGCGGAATTACCTTAAGCACTCCGCAAAACGTTTTTGGCGCCAAATGTTTAGACGACAATGTGCATTTCCCAGTAGCACAATAGCATCTTCGATAAGAGCTTTTATGTGGTCAGGATCAGGACCTGCCGGCTCATCCCCGTCTACATCCACTTCTGTCGGCCCCAATGCTTGTAGAGCACTAACAAGTGGTCGAACAACGGAAATAAAGGGTGCTTGTTTGTCAGCTAGTCCTTCATCAAATGTGAACAAATCATTTGTTCGGGACAGACCATGGACACGTTTGATGTCCTCTTTCATCCCTGTTTGCATTATGGGTGAAACTAGGAAATCAACTGTTCCTTTAATGTCAGGGTATTGTTCCATGACATTTGTCCAAACTTCTTTGAACAGTTGCTTGGTAAATGCAGATTTGAGAAATGAAGTTAATTCTTCAGAAATGGTAGCTTCTGGTGCTGGTGCATAATACTTGTCGGAACGACTAGAACCGATAAAAGCTGGTGGTGTGTCACTATCAACTACTTTGGCTCTTTTAGGTTGTAGTTGTTCCACAGAGATATTTTCTTGAGAAGTTTGTATTAAATCGTACGCTTCGCCCAGCTTGGTTTTAAGCAACGTATACTGTCTGTTTATTTTGTCACTTCCGTACTCACTTTCTAGAGTATCAGCCGTAGATCGGTTAAAATAAGCGAGCTTTCTCAACAACGATTTGAAATTGGCTTCTGTTGACTCGATGTCGTTTTGTGCGATGGTTTGTTCTCCTTGTGCTTCGACGTCATTTCGCGATTGTCGTGTTATCATCTCGATCCCTGTATTTGTTTACATATACCGCGTAATTTTGCTCTAACTCGATTGTTGTGTAAAATATCCCGTTTCACGTTTGTCACAATATCCCGTTTGTTGAGTTAATCCCGTCTGGAGGTGCCCTTTGTGGTAGATTTTCGTTCGATCCCCACAATAAGAGCAAATTACGCGTTTAATCTTGTGTTTTGTATTATAATCCCTTCCCCAAATCGCTCTCAGTTACATATATTCCCATGCAATATCAACATTCCTTTTATCTCATGCATGTCAATCAATTCCATATATGGTAGTCCCCTCATCTCTAAATTTGACTATTAATTATTAATGTCAACCTTTTTCCGAGACTAGCTTGATTCACGAATTTATTCAAATATCAACTTTTTCATGAATACTTATCAATCACAATAAAACAAGTTCACTTTGCCTTCAGAGTCTCGCTCCCTTTTTAAATAATATAAAATTCGTATTACTTCTCAAATTTACGGCACATCCTGACATCCTGAAATCAAGATAGATTTATAGCATCAGCGTATACGAATACGTGTTTGACCTGCACACTCAGCCATAAAATTAGTATCTCGCCCCATCTGCCTAACAGTTGGACAACCGAAGGTTAAGGATATAGTTCCATTTAAATTTAAATTTATACTCGATTTTATCAAGAAACCATAGTAAATCATATGTATTTTGTTTTGACGAGTTCCCGGTTTGACGTCACATCCGGCGTCTCGCCCTAGTGTAAAAGTACACTCTCGGTTAAGCAAAAAATCGCCAAGTTTGAGCCCCTGAAAGTCCATGAAGATCAAATTTTCGAAATATAAAAATTTCAAACTTATAAAATATAATGCAAAAGTTCTTAAAATCATCTAAACTATCTAAATAGGCTAATTCCCTGACCATGACATAGGCACTTTAAAGCCTATGCTCGAGAATGGAATATTACGGTCGAATACAAGATTACGAAATGCGTAGGAACTTTCGAACGAAGTGAAATTTCCAATAATCTTGCCAAAGAAAAACCATGTAACCGGTCTTATTGTCAACTATCACCATGAGACTGAGCATCATGAAATTTTTGTATAAACATATTTTAATATCAAAAAAAATAAGAAATTACAATTGCCCAAGAGCTCAAAAGGCTCATCTAGGGGCTCTTGATCTATTTAGTAATATATATATATATATATATATATATATATATATATATATATATATATATATATATGCGCATGTCTGGATGCGTTGATGTCATCGTGTTGTACCACATGCCTTGGTGGGAGCAAGTGTATGTGATATAAATGCGAATGTCTCACGTATCTAGACGTGTACCAAGCTGCACTGACGAGGCGTTGAACGCCGAAACATGCATGTCTGCAGATTGTACTATATATATATATATATATATATATATATATATATATATATATATATATATATATATATATATATATATATATATATATATATATATATATATATATATATATAATATAGCATTTGTAAATTCTGAACGCTGATTGGCTAAGAGCCGTGTTGATATAACTCCATGTCAACACAGGAAATTTTCCGCCGCTTGTAACACGGAAATTGTTCTTATTCTTCGGGCTTTTGACATTGCTATATTATAAAACAAATATAAAACATTTTTTCCGTATTGATATATAGTTATATCAACACTCGTGGAAGTTGGGAAAACTCGAAATTGTATGAAAACACTCCGCCCTTCGGGCGTCGTGTTTCCACACAATTTCTCGTTTTCCCAACTTCCACTCGTGTTGATATAACTGTATATCAACACGGAAAATGTTTTATATTTGTTAATATTATATATATATATATATATATATATATATATATATATATATATATATATATATATATATATATATATATATATATATATATATATATATATATATATATATATGAAAAGCGTCGGGAATTAATGATGAATTTCTGAATAGCTAGAAACAGCGTTCTATTTGAGTCAAAGTCAACTTCGTTACAACCATATAAAAATTTTAATTTTGTATTATCGTTAGCTGTGGTCCAGTGATAATGAAGACAATCTGCAGCCGAGGTAAGCAAATGAGCGCGATGGACTTGAAAACATGGACACTCCAACAAATAATGTTTAGATGTCTCACGGTAGTATCCGCATGCACAGCAGAAGCAATACAATTATGTTGAAAAAGATCATAATTTAAGGTAGTATTATTTAATCGTAATCTTGTATGCAGAATAGAGGCATATCTCGAACCCACTTCAAACAATTTACATTTCATCCCACACGAAAATATTCTGCCAACTTTTAATTTAAAATTTGCTACAGAAGCAAAATTTCTGACATCAACTGAAAGTAAATTCCACGCACGAATAGCATCGGGAAAGAATGAATTTTGAAATCTAGTAGTTGATCTAATACATTACAGAAATATCTTCTTTATTCCTTAATGAATACGTTGTTCTGGCGGATACTGGACAAGGAACGAGAGATGAAAGATAATTGGGCAAAAGATTATTTGTCATCTTATAAAAAATGGAAACTTTGTGAATTTGACGTCTTGTTTTTAACAAATCCCAAAATAATTCCTGAAGCATGGACAGTCGATTAGTACCTTTCATAGCACCTGTTACAAGACGGGCGGCTTCGTATTGTACACTCTCTAAAATATCACTAGATTCGTTTGTACACCCATTCCAAATAAAGTCAGCATATTCCATAAGCGGTCTGACTAAAGTTAAATACATAGAGTTCAGAGTAGATCGTTTTAAAGTAAACTTTAGGCCTTTTAACAAGTTTAGTCTTTTTGACGCCTTCTCGTATATTATGTTGACATGTTTATGCCAAGATAGATCATTCATTAAGTTTAACCCCAAATGACAATGTGAAATAACTTCGGGAATAATTTCATTATTTAAAGTAAGTGGAGCATGAAAAGGTTTTTCCTTTTTAGCTGAAAATTCCATAGATCGAGACTTAGAACCATTCATTATTACATCCCATTTGTTTGCCCAGTTTGCTATAGAGGCAGGGTCAAAATTTTTTTTTCGCTGAATCAGTAGGGGACTCTACTATATCTAGCAACATAGAATCGTCTGCGTGTAAGAAAGCCTCAGATTGAACATCATCGACCATATCATTAATATAAATTAAGAAAAGCAAAGGTCCGAGAACACTACCCTGAGGCACGCCAGCTGTTATTCCTTTCCATTCAGAGTATTTACCCCCCAGAGAAACACGCTGGCGACGCCCAGAGAGATAGCTCTAAAGCCAAGCAAGCAATGGACCGTCAATCCCCAAATATTTTAACTTACATATTAATCCTTCATGCCAAACACGGTCGAAAGCTTTACTTATATCTAAGAATACAACCCTTACTTCATTTCCTTCTTCTAAACACTGATAGATTCGATGAATAATATATGTAAGTTGAGAAGTCGTAGAGTGATTAGGACGAAATGTATATCAAATAATCGTATAAGCGAACAAATATTATTTTCTCACAAATCTTTGATAGGCTAGGCAATAGCGAAACTGGTCGATAATTATTTTTAAAACAGGGTTCATTCTTTTTGAACACAGGGATTACATTAGCAGACTTCCACTGATCAGGAAATTGTCCTAACGAAAATGAGGTATTTATTAATTTCGTGAATGAACTATAAAGGCCAATAGCACATGACTTAATCATTCTATTTCCAATTCCATCATATCCACAAGCTTTCGTTACATCAACATTATTTAATAAATTATAAACTTCATTTGCGTTCGCCTCAATATGTGTTAAGAATTTATCTGGAAAACGACCTGAAATTTCTGGGACTGTGTTGGTCATAGTTGTCTTTGCTTGGTCAACAAAATAATTGTTAAATAACTGGGCCTTCTTTAGTGGATCAGTAATATAATTATCTCCCTCCTTCAGTGGTGGGATTTGTGAACAGACTTTATCTCCATACACAGACTTAACAGTTTTCCACCAATTTTTTACAGCTAATTTGGGATCACTTAGCCTGGCAATAATTTTAGTAAAATATAGCGTAGTTCGAACGATTTATTTTATCTATACTGTCCTGTAGAAGTTCTAAAAATCTACCAATTTCCAAATTAAGGTTGGAAGGTGGCCTATAGCACACCCCGATTAGAATTTTGGAATTTGGCAAAAATACTTCAAACCATAATAATTCAAGCTCTGCAATTTCGAGATCTAATCTTCTACTAAACGCAAGATAGTTAGCAAGATATAAAGCTACCCCACCACCCCGTCCTAAACAGCGATTTTTGACAAGAGGTAAATGATATCCATAAATGCTAAGCTCTTCCAAATCATATGAGCATAGCCATGTTTCAGAAAGTGCAAAAATATCAAAATTGTGGACTCCTAAGAATGTTGTAATATTATTAAATTTATCATGACTTAGAAATGAACGAACATTAAGATGCGCTAAGGAGAGATAATCAAACAAAGATGGACCTGGATTAGTATGAATATCTGATGACAAAGAAATAATGAGCAAAAAAAATGCAGTTATATATGAATGCAAATACCACCGTGAGATTCAGAAAAGCGAATGAAGCATTAACCTCGGGGTTACAACTAGCACGTGAATTAAACAGTCCAATCGCCGCTCGATAGCACTCTACCGAAATGCCCATGCAATACAAGAACGAATAATAACCACAAAACTTACCCTTGGCTGCAGATGAAGTACATAAAATCTACAAACTAAATCAACATACATACAAATTAAAGTTAAACCAATATTGTCAAACAACATTTAGAATTTACGCAATAGTGCAAGTATAATGATGAGATAAAGGCAAAATATTACACAACATGCATGTTAGCTTTAGACAAACTGTAGATTCAGAACATCGTCTTTACAGCAGACAACACGAATTGAAGAATCGACTTTCAACTTAACAAATATTTTCCCGTCGCTTGACCACACAGATGAAATAAACTCCACCACACGTGCATAACGGAACAAATCAAGGTTTTTAGCAGTAAGATCCTCTCTAACATAAAGTCCCTTTTTGCCTTTAAGCTCGCGGCGACTTTTTAATACTGCTTGCTTCGCTCTGTAACCTTTAAACTTAACGATCATTTGACGGGGAGATGAACCGCCGGCCTTACCCACTCGATGCACACGATCAATTTCTGCATCATCAATTGTTACACCCATTTCATTACTAAAGAAACTTGATATCGCTTCATAACAATCCTCGCCTGGCTCTTCTTTTATTCCACCAACACGAAGGTTATATTTCCTTGAGTATTGTTCGTTTGCATTACACATAAGCGACAAACGATTTAATTATACACGAAGCTTTTCATTTTCAGATTTGAGCAAGCTAACTTGCTCGTTTATAGGGGCAACAATTTTCGCCAATTCGCACTTCAATGATTCCTTTACATGAGTAGCAAAAGCGTTCGTTATTTCGTCTTTGATCAAAGATCTCATTTCTTCTCTAAATTGATCGAAATCAGTTGTAGCCTATCTAAGGTTTTCTTTGACCTAGTCATCGCCATAACGGAATCTATAATTGATCAGCTTCGCTTGGTCAGTTGAACAACAATTAGTAAAACACTTCACCTTTTCAATAATTATCGACGCCTTTACTCTTCAAAATACTTAGATTAAATCATAGCATATCTTATAGCTTAGCACAGTAATGGTTTAAGTCAAATTATGTTTTAATAATTACTATAACCGGAGCTCAAAATACACGTCCGCTCCGCTCTGTGGTTGTACTTTTAAAATGAAATGGGTGTGAACTTTACGATCAATGAGAGAAGCACTTAATCGTGCACGCACGTCAAGAGGTCAAACGTTGTGTGAGTAGTTGTGCCGAGTGTTCTTGACGTTTTAGATTACGGCCTAAGACACAGCAAATGGCGCCATTGCCGGACATTCGTCTGGAAGTGACTGGCAGGCTGTTCGAAAACTGTGCAACCGATTACGGATGGCTTCGTCACTTGACGTGCAGCACTATACATTGGCGGGGTATTTGAGAGTATGATAAAGTCAGCCAAACGAATAATTGCTGCAGTTTTTCCAAACGCGAACATCAATGATGAGGAATTACAAACGCTTTTCACTGGAGTTGAAAGTCCATTCTCGACCATTGACAACGATAACTGATGATCCTAATGACGAACTTGTCACTTACAACCGGATAACACAACATATTCATGCAATAATGTTCCATAGCATGTTCACTTTTGATTTTAGGTTCAACAAATTTATTGGTGTATGTATTTAGTTTGGTTAACCACATATTGTCGGCCGATTTACTGACTAATAAAAACATAAAGGCGAAATCTATAAAATCAGTAACTGCTGTGACTGTATTTCTGTTAAGATGGTGTCTTTTTGATAAAGCTGGAGTAATACAAGCGACAAAATTGCTGCAACTTGCAACAAAATTTGATTTCTACGCATGTTAATTGAAATGTTTATACACATAAATTACAAATCACAGGGCAACGTGTGTCGACATTTCTACCAATTAACATGCGTTGAAATCAGATTTTTTTGCAAGTTGCAGCAATTTTGTTGCCTGTATTACTCCACCTTAAAGTGCCTATGACACGAAATTTCACCCCAAAGGTTTATGGCTGCATTGTGGAGATCACTTAAAATGACTTAATATTTTCTTTTATAGAATTTTGGTAACTTGCTCCGTTTTCAAGATATTCAACTTTGCTTCATATGCAAATATCACCTGTGTGACATCACATCACATCACATCACATCACATCACATCACATCACATCACATCACATCACATAATGCGTTTTCAGAAAAGTATAGTTTTCCTGACGAATACGTATTTAAAAAACTTAAAAATTGCCCTTGTATATGTATTAATTTCATAACTGGTTTTTAACCCACTGTATTTGTTTGTAAAAATATTTTATCAAGGTTAAAATATTGCGTTTTCGAAATGTCATTATGCGATGTGATGTCACACTGGTGATATTTGCATATGAACCAAAGTTGAATATCTTGCAAAGGAAGCAAGTTACCAAAATTCTATAAAAGAAATTATTAAATTAAGTCATTTTAAGTTATCTTTACAATGCAATTATAAACATTTGAGGTGAAATTTCGTGTCATAGGCACTTTAAGATGGTGTCTCTCCTGGTTATCTGCATTAAGTTCAGATGGTAGCAACTATCTCTGAGCAATACAATTACCATGATCAAACATACTCGTGATGCACGCAAATCCATACTCTTTCATACAGAAATCCTGCGGTTAAGCAAAATAACATTTCCTTATTTGATGTCGCAATGGGATGTTTTGACGGAAACTATATCCTAAACAACGTCTCATCGGGGGGGGGGGGGCTGATTTTCGGGAAATCCGGACAGGATTTTGGCGGCTGCAAATCAGCCCCCCCCCCCATAAAATTGAGGGCCTGCCACGCAGGCTACGTCTCATACAGCAACTCTTCAAGTAACAAAATAACGTGTACTTGCACATACTTCAAGTTGGACGACCCACATTACATACTTGTTAATTAGCAACACTCCTACAACACCAGACTCATCTGCACGATTCAAAACACTTGCCAAGTACTTTGGGACCTAGGAAGAAATACTTTAGTTGATACGACTCCTAACATTATTTTGATGGTGAAAGTTGCACTACATGTATGGTTATCAGGCGTTTAGCCAGAATCCTGAAAGAGTGCGTCCAATTTTAGTCTAATGACACATCTACAGTATAGACTATAGTTCGAGAGACCGTTCTCTGGTAAACCGTTGAAGTTTGGGTCTGAGACTCTTTTAAGAGTCTCTTAAGAGTCTTTTAAGAGTCTCTTGTTTGATATTTAAATTATAAGTTGTGAAGTTTTGTATACATTTGTTTTGTAACAGGTCACTAACGTAACTGGCTCACGCTGTGTTAGTGTTCCTGAACCGTCTTCCTGTTTGCATGTTGACGGCTGAAGTTAATAAATAGTTAAAAAAATAGCCACACAAACATATTAATTTGCGATTATTATTGGTTAGTTTATGTTGTACATAAGTCAGAATGATGGTAATTCAAATAAAAATCATTCAACTTAATAACAAGAGAAACATTTGCTAAACCCATAAAGTACTCGTAAAATGGCAATCCATGCATTTCGATAGTCAGTATTTTGAAATAGCTTTGCCTTTGGAAGATTGTAGAAGGCTTTATATAATAACCATCAAGATTTTAGCTAGAAGGGCGTCCAGGGATCCTGGGGCGCCCTGCAACGAAAACTGAACGCCCAAATTTTTTAGGAAAGGGAAATTAATCTTAATGATTCCCTAAATATATAATATATTTGAAACGAAATAGCAATAAAGTTTGTTCGTTCACTGCAACCAGGTATATCAATCATGTTTCGCTCGCTACTCTGGTTTAAATAAATGATTACAAAGCCCAGTCGAATTGTAATCAAGACCCAACGTTTCGACACTCCAGTCTAGTGTCTTCATCAGGGGTGATCTAAAACTGCGATCGTGGCTTCTTAAATACCCAAGGGATGACGTCACCTGCCAAGAAGATGCATATATTCTACTGGCAAATAGGCGCCGTCATCCCTATTCAAAGCATGATGACTCATATTTATATGCCACGCTTCTAGGCAAAGTCTTTGACCATAGCGATTGTTTGTGGTAATTACTTTAGAGTTTTCCCACGCAATCTCGTGTTTGGTGTAACATACATGTTCGGCTAAAGCTGATTTTCCCTTGTCTAAAGTTGAAACAGCCTTTTGATGTTCTTTTAGCCGTGTACCAAACTGGCGTTTAGACTGACCCAAATACTCTATACGCATGGTATAGAATATATAGCATAAGTCTTCTGATTTTTTTCAACAGGATCTTTTGGCTTTGCGAAAATATGGCCTAAGGTCAAATAGGGTTTTAAGGCAACCTTAATATTACAATTACTTAAGATTCTCTTGATTGGTTCTGTGACACCTTGAATGTATGGAACTATTGCAAAACCCTTAACAGAGGTATCACCCTCGGAGTTATTTTGGTTCCTACAAACAGGTGGTCTCAGGCAATCATTAAGAAAACGCTTTGGGTAATTGTTTTCCCCTAAAACATTTAGAACATATTCACGTTCATTAGCTTGAAAATCACTGTTTGACGGCAACGATTCAGCTCTTTGAAGCAAAGTTTTTGCTACGGATCTTTTATGGCTTACTGGGTGATGAGAGTCGTATGACAAATATTTGTCTGTGTGTGTGGGTTTGCGATAAACATCAGTCTCTAACTTCCCTTCGACAGTTCTGTGTACATTCAAATCTAAAAAAGCTACATGTCCATTTATCTCACGTTCTACCGTGAATTGGATGGACGGCTCAATAGAATTTAAATGTTGCAGCAGAATATCGATCTCATTTGTAGAAACCGCAGAGATGACATCATCGACGAAACGTTTCCAAAACGATAGGGACACCGGAACAGAGGCTAAAGCTCTTTGTTCGACATCTTCCATTACTAAATTAGCAATTACTGCCGAACTGGTGACCCCATTGCTGTTCCAAAAACCTGTTGATAATAACAGCCCTCAAACACAAAGTATGTGGCGTTGAGACAAAAAGACAGAAGATCAATAATATCTTCTACAGGCAAGGATGTTCTTTGTAACAAAGTGGCATCCTGTCTTAGTCTTTTTGCCGCAACCTTGATGGCAAGATCAACTGGGATATTTGTAAACAAGGAAACGACATCAAATGATACCAACACTTGATCTGCTTTAAGAGTTTTATCTCTTACAAATTCTGCAAAATGACAGGAATTTTTGACAGTGTTTTCGGTATTTCCCACCACAGGGGACAAAATTTTCGCCAAAAAACTTGAAACTCCATATGTAGGAGAATTCACAAAGGACACAATAGGTCTCAATGGAATTTCCGATTTATGGATTTTCGGTAAACCATAGAAACGCGGAGATAGTCCATCACTGCTGTATAACTTTTCATATGTAGCCTTGCTGATAATATTGGATTTCTTCAAAAGAAGTAACTTGGCGTTAAAACCTCTTTGAGTCTTTACGTTTCGTCGATGATGTCATCTCTGCGGTTTCTACAAATGAGATCGATATTCTGCTGCAACATTTAAATTCTATTGAGCCGTCCATCCAATTCACGGTAGAACGTGAAAGAAATGGACATTTAGCTTTTTTAGATTTGAATGTACACAGAACTGTCGAAGGGAAGTTAGAGACTGATGTTTATCGCAAACCCACACACACAGACAAATACTTGTCATACGACTCTCATCACCCAGTAAGCCATAAAAGATCCGTAGCAAAAACGTTGCTTCAAAGAGCTGAATCGTTGCCGTCAAACAGTGATTTTCAAGCTAATGAACGTGAATATGTTCTAAATGTTTTAGGGGAAAACAATTACCCAAAGCGTTTTCTTAATGATTGCCTGAGACCACCTGTTTGTAGGAACCAAAATAACTCCGAGGGTGATACCTCTGTTAAGGGTTTTGCAATAGTTCCATACATTCAAGGTGTCACAGAACCAATCAAGAGAATCTTAAGTAATTGTAATATTAAGGTTGCCTTAAAACCCTATTTGACCCTAGGCCATATTTTCGCAAAGCCAAAAGATCCTGTTGAAAAAAATCAGAAGACTCATGCTATATATTCTATACCATGCGGTGACTGCGATAAAGAGTATTTGGGTCAGTCTAAACGCCAGTTTGGTACACGGCTAAAAGAACATCAAAAGGCTGTTTCAACTTTAGACAAGGGAAAATCAGCTTTAACCGAACATGTATGTTACACCAAACACGAGATTGCGTGGGAAAACTCTAAAGTAATTACCACAAACAATCGCTATGGTCAAAGACTTTGCCTAGAAGCGTGGCATATAAATATGAGTCATCATGCTTTGAATAGGGATGACGGCGCCTATTTGCCAGAAGAATATATGCATCTTCTTGGCATGTGACGTCATCCCTTGGGTATTTAAGAAGCCACGATCGCAGTTTTAGATCACCCCTGATGAAAACACTAGACTGGAGTGTCGAAACGTTGGGTCTTGATTACAATTCGACTGGGCTTTGTAATCATTTATTTAAACCAGAGTAGCGAGCGAAACATGAAATAGCAATATTATACATTTTGATCAATTTCATGGTGCACCTGAAATTTATGAAAATGTAAGCATATATAGCGGTGCAAAGCTCGCAAACCCAGTCTAGCCAGAATGTAAAGTAAGTTGTCTATAAACCAACAAGAGAAACAGCAATATTAGACCTTATTACTACAAACTTATACCAATTATATCAGTGCTCCCATATTCTTGCTCCGCTGGGTTCAAGTGACCATAACATTGTTCATTGGCATCCATCCGATGATGATACAAATGAAAAAAATACTCAAGTAAAATCAACTAAACAACTAGTACGTCGTTATCCAAGATCAGGTATGGATGCTTTTGGTACATGGGCCTCTACTTATGACTGGTTCGGCGAACTAGAACCCAACCCTATTACCGACAGTCTGGCCCTCTCTTTCACGAACCGCCTGACAGAAACTATTCACAGAATTTTTCCACAAAAGAAAGTAACCCGTCATCGAAATGACAAACCTTGGATCAACCTCGCAAGCCAGGGTCTTTTACCTACGCTCGGGCTCCGGCGAAGACCCTGGTTCCCTCTGGTCACGTGACCACCTAAAAATTAGGACAACAAGAGGTCCTAGGGGAGGGTGGTTGAAATGTGATATGTTGTAATTTCCAACTTCCAGTTAAATGTTGTGTCAGTAAGGCCCGCCGAGGAGTGACTGTAAAGCTATGAGAAGTGACTTCAACTGTAATATGCAAAAACATTCAAAATGTATTATTTTTCTTATTTGTTTGCAGTTTTCTATTATAAATATTTTGTATGCAAACACTATTTTGAAGCCCAAGTACTTATTTGCTTAGAAAAGCTGTCCTTTGGCGTGTATATAGGCTACTGGCAATTTTTCCAATCGGTAACATGACGAGTCGCTAATTTACCAGCTTTTGCCTTTGATGCTTTTCGCTAAAAGAGCGTTAGAAGAACGTCCAACTCATGGCGTTTGTGTAAATGAGTAATGCTGCTCGTTACTGATATCGTCGGCGCCAACGCGCCTTTGATAAACAATCCAGCTCGAAAATTATGTGTGACAAAACTCAGAGTATCAGCAATAAATGTTTTTCAGCAGCCATTAAAATGTGACAACGAAGAGATTGATGCGATGTAGCTGAACTTGACCAAAAGACAAAACTAATTCTACATGTTATTTTTCAATCATCCATTATATTGTTATCTCAATTTTGTTCACTTTATGCCAAACGTAGTATATTAATTGTGTGTTGTATTTTATAACGTACCAGTCGTTTTTGCATGACCGCTACAGCATATAAACTTGACCGAAGGCACATAAAAGCGGAATAGCTTGGCTTGCATAATGGCTTTGAGTTGGTTGCAAATTCTGACCGAAAGATATGATGAGATCTTTTACGAAAAGGCATTCAGATACAGGCACTGATATTAATGCCTTGGAGGACATTTGCAACCCAATTTATGTTGCAACCCAATGTTTATGTGTTGAGTGTAGTTTAGATATGGAAAGGGAATGATTTTACCTGATTAGACAAATATTTTGCGCCTGTGAAATATTCTTGACTTTGTACAAAATAAATAAACAATTAATCACAAATTAAAATCATATAAACTCAATTTACTTCATGGACAGTACAAAAACCCATACAGCAGTGCCAGAACAAAATTCTAAAATATACAGTATACTGTAACCATATAGCTATTTCAATTAAAGTTGACAAAGACAATAGTCAGATGTACAATAATATGAGTGCTATATAAATGAATAATGGGAATAATGATAGTTTTCAATAAGTTTAACACCTCAAATATATTTTGAATACCAATTTAGTTTGTATTACCATGAGGCTATTGATGTGTTAAAATAGGATATTTTTAGCGTTCAATTGTACATTTAACTATTGTTTGTGACACTAACCTTAATTGCAGGAATAGCTGCATTACAATATAGAACAAGTGCAAATTGCATGTGCATCTGTTAATCCTTTCAAGCTAGGGTATATATATAGTCTTGGTAGCCTGTGCTACAGCCATACAAATCATTGTTGCTTATAATAATTCCTCTTTATCTTCTGATGTGTCCACTGGTGAGTGCTTGGTGAATGTTCCTCTTGCGTTTGTTTAGCTATAGTCATCATATGCAGCGACAATTTGTCTATAATGTTGCTAATGTATCTGATCATATATCTGCAAAGAAACCTTCATGAAAGTGATCATATATTGTTGATTACAAATGGTTTCAATTCCAAGAGATGAGATAAAATAACATTTTCCCTGAAGATTTGTGCTTGTGAGAGGATGACTTAATTCCTACAGCTTTGTCGAAGTTGTTTATCATTTCTGCAGATATCCCTCCAGTCGCTGTACTTTAATATTAAATAAACATTCGATTGACTTCACTGTCTTGGGTGTTTTTTTTGGCCGCCATTCTTTTAATTTAATGTTAATTTAGGAAGCTAGATTAGAAAATCCGTCATTGATCATCACACACATGCAGGAGTTTCACAATTCACAAATTCTGTGATACGAAGCAGGTTTTTATTTCGCTATTCAGCTACCTCTAAGAATAGGTTCGGTTGTAATACTTCTTGTCGATAAAACTACCACAAAGGTGACACTTGCATTCCGAAAACAAAGCGGACTTCGGATAAATCATCTTTGGAGTTTCCTTTCGCTGTGCCATAGAGTTGAGAGCTACTGAATACTGTACTTTGACTTTGTATAAGTGTGCACTCGACCTTTATTTTCTTTGCGTTGATAAATAATGGCTCCACTTCAAGGTGTAAAACAGACCTCCAGCCATGCAAATTATATCAAGTAGGTGTAAAAATCTTTCAAGCGGTGACATATTTCATAAAAGATAACACAAAAACCGACAAAACCCAAAATATGGGTTAATACAGAGCGTAAATGGCCGTATTGTCCATAGGCATAGTTATAGTTTTTTCGTTTTCGCTCTTGAATTCCCCCTACCACTCCTCCCTAAGTGGCAAAGAGGCGCCAATTCGAATTACCCCTAAAATCTGGGGGTTCACGTGACCAGAGGGAACCAGGGTCTTCGCCGGAGCCCGAGCGTAGGTAAAAGACCCTGGCTTGCGAGGTTGACCTTGGATCACTCCAACCATCAAACAACTTATCGCCGATCACTAAAAAGCTTTCCATTGCCAAAACATACCCGCGTGGAAATCTTTGAAATATAAGGTTCAACAAGAAATCAAATCTAGGAAAACAACTTACCATAAAACAGAAGTAAAACATTTGAAGATGGACGACTGTCGAAGGTGGTGGAAAATTGTAAACACCATGGCGGGAAAACCGGAGAAAAACAATTGTTTCAATTTCGAGTGTGATGGGACAATCCTAGATCAGTCCGAATTGGTCAACAGCCTAAACGAGTTTTACGCATCAGTAAATAATGACATTCCAACACTCGACGTAACAAAACTTCCCACCTTCCTCCAAGCCGCCGAGCCTACCCCGAGGCTTGAACCGTATGAAGTATGTAAGAAGTTATCAACAATCAAACCTTTCAAATCCAGCGGCCCGGACAATGTTCCTTGTCGAATCTTAAGGGATTTCGCTTACGAACTTGCCGAGCCTGTTACAACTATTTTCAATGCATCACTCGCATCTGAATCTGTGCCTAAAATCTGGAAGGATTCAGATATTATCCCTATCCCTAAGAAACAACAGCCTACTTGCGAAGAAGAGACAAGGCCTATTTCACTGACATCTTGTCTATGTAAAGTCCTAGAAGACTTTGTAGTCTCCTGAATGATAACCGATATGGAAGACAGAATTGACCCAAGACAATTTGGATGTCTGAAGGGAACATCGACGACTTACTGTCTTTTGGACATGATTCAAACTTGGTTGTCCTTCTTAGATGGTCACGGAAGACACCTACGCATATGTTTCCTCGATTTTGCAAAGGCCTTTGACCGTATTGGTCATGATATGGTAATATCCAAACTATTGGATCTAGGTGTTCGACGATCCTTGGTACCATGGATAATTAACTTTCTTTCTAACCGTCGACACAGAGTTAAATTAGGAGATATAACCTCCGATTGGTTACCAATGAAAGCTGGCGTCCCACAGGGGACAAAGCTTGATCCAATTTTGTCTTTGGTAATGATAAATAATCTCAATCCCAGATCCAGCGGAACAGATATTTGGAAATATGTTGACGATGTATCAACCTCGGAGGGACTGGCAAAGAACAGCAATTCTAATATGCAATCTAATCTTGACTCAATCTGTTCTTGGTCCCTACAGAATTATATGAAACTTAACGTTGAAAAATGTAAAGAACTACGTATTTGTTTCCAGAAAGGTAAACCTGAACTATTGCCATTATTGATAGATGAACAAGCGCTTGAAATCGTTCAGTCTCACAAAGTTCTTGGCCTTATTATTCAGAACAATCTAAAATTGAACGAACACATTGATTCAGTCGTTTCCAAAGCATCGAAACGGTTGTACATTATCCGCACTTTACGCCGAAGTGGCGTCCCTGCTGAAGATTTACTTGAGATCTATTTCGCGATCATACGCTCAGTGTTAGAGTATTGTTGTGTTGTTTGGCATAATAATTTACCTTCGTATCTTGCTAACCAGTTAGAACGAGTTCAGAAACGCGCACTTAGAATTATTTTACCAGAATACACCTATAGTGAAGCCCTAACATTTCTGAAATGCACCCGGCTAGACGAGAGACGAGAAAAACTTTGCTTTAAAACCTTGAAAAATATACCACAAGGAAGTCCTTTATTTAGTCACATTCCTACACCGAGAGACACCTGTTGCGATTACAACCTAAGAAATTCTAATGCATTAACTACGATCAAATGCAGAACAGAACGGTCCCGCAGCAGCTTCTTTCCGAGCACTGTGGCTATTTTTAATAATGACAGTAGCAACATTTAAATACAGATTTTATGTACTATTTAAAAAACGAGCAGGAGTGTTTTATTAGGTTTAAAGCCACGAGCGCGCAGCGCGAGTGGCTTTAGACCTAATAAAACACGACCCGCGAGTTTTTTAAATGACTTCAAAAACGTATGCATAATAAGTCAAATCTTTATATAAAAATCTTTATATAAAAACCTTTATATAAAAATCTTTATATAAAAATCTTTATATAGTTCGCATAACAATGGTCTTTTGTTAAAGTGTTCTTTAGCTGGTATAAAGACGTATGCACGTGACTAATTTCTTACTCAAGATTGGATAATTGCTTCATGAATTATTAATGAGTTTTTGAAATACGTATAAAGTAACGTTTTAATATATTCTAACTCTTTAATCCTTAGTATTGTTTAATATAGTAATTAAATACTTAGTTGTAAATTCACCGCAACTCAAATTTATGCGATGGTGAATATTCTTAAACATGAATAATAATAATAATAACCCAGTGGTGTTTGAAAAATCTCAAACAAGCTTTCGTAGGCTGAAGTGAACAGATACTGGCATGAAGTTATGTAAACCTCTAATACTGTTTAAAAACATGATTAGAGGTTTACATAACTTCATGCCAGTATCTGTTCACTTCAGCCTACGAAAGATTGTTCGAGATTTTTCAAACACCACTATATATGCTTATATTTTCATAAATTGCAGGTGCGCCATGAAATTGATCAAAATGTATAATATTGCTATTTCGGTTCAAATATATTATATATTTAGGGAAATCATTGAGATTAATTTCCCATTTCAAAATACTGACTATCGAAATGCATGAATTGCCATTTTACGAGTACTTTATGGGTTTAGCAAATGTTTCTCTTGTTATTAAGTTGAATGATTTTTATTTGAATTACCATCATTCTGACTTATGTACAACATAAACTAACCAATAATAATCACAAATTAATATGTTTGTTTGGCAATTTTTTTTTAACTATTTATTAACTTCAGCCGTCAACATACATACAAACATGCACGAAGACGGTTCAGGAACACTAACACAGCGTGAGCCAATTACGTTAGTGACCTAAATCCGTCGATAAAATAAGACGAAAATGGCGAAAAATAGGTTTGCTAGACGTACATGTATATGCGCAAAGGAATTGCATTGTTGCTATGAAAAAAATTTCATGCACAATTATTGAGTAAACATTTATATATTTTGAAGTGACTATACAGCCGGGCAGCCGGCTATTTAGTAAACTGCTGGCTATACAGCCGGCTATTTAGTAAAATGCTGGCTTTTTAGTAGTCTCCTTCGCAACCGCTCTTTGTGTCGAGGTTTCTCCATATCTAAATAAATTTAGCGACATAAATATCTTAACAAGTCCAAGGTCATAACTGCTAACCGTATAACCTTTTGAAAGTTAGAAAAGGTTTAAAAAATTATTTAAGAAAAAATATGCTAAGAAAGAACAAAACACAACACGACCCGGACTGCGTTTCACTTTCCGCACGCAGCGCCTTTACCGTATGCGCTTGGTAAAAGCTGGCACAAACAAAAGTTTTATCCCCGAGCCGACGGCGCGAAGCGCCGTGTGAGGGTACTAATTCCCCCCGGCTATTTACACCGGGGGAAACGAAAGCATTAGCGAAGTCTACAGTTCATCAAATATCGCGGGCGTGGGTCACTGTGCGTGTTTCGGTGGGTGGTCATCCTCACTGATCTCATAATATAGCGGACTGTAATGAATAGCCAACACTGATTGGTCCAATTTAAAATTGGCATTATAACGGCTGCATGACGATTGACGACAGCGAAATTGATTTGATGATTTCTTGCAAATATATTTCATTTTTGCAAGATTTTGTAAATTGCAAAGGATTTTTGATGAAATAAAGGCAAGAGGATTGCTAAAAGAAGGAAGTAAAGGTGCCGACGTTAACGAAGGTAAGTTTGTTTTAAATATTGATGCATTGTTTGCTTTTAATATACTGTAATCTCGGCTGTAATTACTTTAAAAGCCGAACGTTGCGTATATAAAATATGAAACAAGACAGCGTATTATTTCAGTGTTTCTTTATTGATTACACTTTTTATTATACTAAGCAAAGTTATTTACATGGGAGAATTTGGAATCATTTTATTTCGAACTCAAAGTTTATCGATAAAGGCAGTTTAGTTCTATATTAAAAGAACACTTTCAAACGTTTTGCGAAGCGTTTGTGGTTGAATTTCACCTTAAATTGAAGCTTATGTTACGTATAATTACATACCTACTGTAATTACTTTAAAATCCGATCGTTGTGTATAAATATGAAACAAGACAGCGTATTATTTCAGTGTTTCTTTATTGATTACACTTTTTATTATACTAAGCAAAGTTATTTGCATGAGAGAATTTGGAATCATTTTATTTCGAAGTCAAAGTTTATCGATAAAGGCAGTTTAGTTCTATAGTAAAAGAACATTTTAAAACGTTTTGCGTAAGCGTTTGTGGTTGAATTTTACCTTAAATTCAAGCTTATATTACGTATAATAACATACCTAACATATATATGTTTAGGAAATTGATAATTTTGTAATTAAAAGTGATATTTATAGGGGATTTTTCATTTGTAAAAATATTCTTAAAAAATTATCGTGTTACCATGACAACTACTTAAAATACTTCACGTTCGGAAAATAAAAAGGTTTTGTCTGCAAGGCGAGGGTTTCTGCATGCATGTATTTTCTAGTATTTCACTATATAGTCAACTATATAGCCGACAATTTACTATATACCCGACTATATTGTCACTTTGTTTATATTTGATATGATAAAGAATGTTCAGATTGCAGTCTCTTCTCTACCACAATCAAAGTCAGAAAGCCACCATTTTTATAATAAAAACAGACAGAATAAGAGTTACAAAATGGGCATTTATTAATGTATCATGTATTCATGTATGCCCTCTATAAAATGAAAAACCACACAATCTGTAAATACATCTTACTAACTTTAACTCAACTTACGAAGCAATCCTATAATTATAAGATGTCCTGTGACTAATGTACCATATAACAAAATTTTAAAGTAACATAAAAATTCTAAAATCTAAATGATGTGACTATAAATGCACCATAACAAAATAATTATGAATAGATGAATAAACCATCGATATTATTAAAAAAGCATGCACGGTTGAATTTCGTTGAAGTTGAATTTCGAAATTTAAAAAATTTTAATGTCGATAATTTCCAAGCCGACCTGTATAGTCAGGATTGGGAATTATTAGATAACCAAGCATGCGTTGATAAGATGTGGGATATATGGAAAACACTCTTTATGACAGTGCTCGACAAACATGCTCCAAATAAAGAGAAAAGAGTGAAAGATAAACCCAGTGTCCCTTGGTTAACCACTACAATCAAAAAACAAATTAGAGAACGAGATCGTCTAAAACTTCTTGCAATAAAATACAAATCGGAAAATTACTGGGATGCTTATAAATCGTCTAGAAATCGCATAACAGATGCTTTGCGAGAAGATAAAACAGCTTATTATAAAGTACAATTTGATAAAGTAAAACATGATCCAAAACAAGCTTGGAAAACTGTTAATAAAATCCTAAATCGAAAGCAAAAATGTCCAGATATAAACTCTGTCAAAACTCAGAATGGAGAGATAACCGATCCAAATGAGTTAGCGGAAAGCTTCAATGATTATTTTACTAATATTGGTCCAGATATTGCAAAAACGATCGATAAAGGTGACAGAAATTTCACGGATTACATAACTAGAGTAACTAGCAATTTTAAGTTCCAAGCTGTATCTGAATCGAAAGTTCATAGACTTCTTTTGTCTCTAAATCCCGGTAAATCTACCGGTATTGACAAAATTCCAGCCAAAATTATTCGTATTGCTTCCCCAGTAATTGCAAATTCCTTGGCAAAAATTTTTAATAGGGCAATCACCAGTGAATCCGCTCCATCTGAATGGAAAGCAGCGAGAGTTACACCTTTACATAAAAAGGCCCTCGAAACCTGTTAAATAATTATCGCCCTATATCCATTCTTCCTGTTGTAAGTAAAGTTTTCGAAAAAGTATTATACGAACAGTTACACGATTATCTTGTTACAAATAACTTACTATCCCAACATCAATTCGGTTTTAGACGTAGTCACTCAACAGCATCCGCCCTTTTAGATAGCACAAATGAATGGTTTGTTAATATGGATCGTGGCTTTTTTAATATTGCAGTCTTTCTCGACTTGCAAAAGGCATTCGACACTATTAACCACGTTGTATTATTGAAAAAACTTGATTTTTATGGTTTAGAAACATCAGCTTTAAACCTCCTAAAATCGTATCTAGAAAACAGAACTCAAATGTGCTCTGTTAATGGCACACTTTCTCGTAAAAAATTAATTACATGTGGAGTCCCTCAAGGCTCAATTCTTGGGCCGCTCCTATTTTTGGTTTATATTAATGATTTGCCAAACAGTTTGGAGTATTCGTCAACAAGGATGTTTGCCGATGATACGACATTAACTGCATCTGGTAAATCAGTTGCTGATGTAGAAATGGCCATTAATTATGATCTTGCTAACGTAAAGCGGTGGCTATCTGCAAACAAACTATCCCTAAATCTTGTTAAAACTGAATACCTATACTAATTGGATCTCGGCATAACGTCAACAATCTAGCCCTTGTTCCAAATGTGTTCATTGGCGATGTACAAATTAAAAGAGTGAGAGAAACAAAAGCACTTGGAGTATGTATTGATGAATTTTTGTCATGGAATAAGCATATTGACAAAATTGCTAAGAAGGTTTCATCCGGAATTGGAGCGATCAGAAGACTCAAACCCTGTGTGGACCACAATACATTAATATGTGCTTATAACGCACTTATATTGCCCCACTTCGACTACTGCTGCGAAGTTTGGGATACTTTTGGTATCACACTCTCTGATCGCCTCCAAAAATTACAAAATAGGGCTGCTAGAGTAATTACGGGTCGTAAAAACGAACACGGGCAATCTGAACTTGCTTTAAATGAACTAAACTGGAAAACATTGAAAGAACGCAGAACTCAATTTGTAGCAAGTCTCATGTACAAAATAACCCACGATCTAGCGCCCAAACAACTAATTGATATGTTTCAAAAGACGCCTTCGTCTCAACATTATAGCTTACGAGGTTATGCCACAAATCTCTACCTGCCCAAACCTAAGACCGAATATCTTAAAAAAGGTCTTAGTTATAGAGGAGCAAAATTGTGGAATGGCCTCCCAGATAGACTAAGAAATAAATGTTCTCTTAGTCAATTTAACTTAAGTGTGCGGCACCTGGCCAGTTAGATAATGAGTTTATGAAATTTTATTTATTTGACCATAGTAGAGTAATTATAATTGTATAATTGTATTGTAATGTGTTAGTCTTGTATATATATTTATCCTAATTGAGTGTAACGTTTGTATTTTTAAACCTACGCCCCTCTTGGAAATCAGCTCTTGCTGTAGGGGTTAGCGTAGACAAATAAAGTTTTTACTTACTTACTTACTTACTTACTCACGAAAAGGCTTTACGATGTTACTTTGGGCAATCTTCTGGGATATAACAAAAAGTTTTTTATCGGACAATTTAGCAGTCAGCCAAAGTCAAACCTCGAGTCAAACAAACAGTTTCTCTTCACCCTGTAGAAAACCGCCATCTTCGCAGGCGTACGAGCCCAAATTAGTCGACCTGAGTGTTTAACGCACGCACGCACGCACGCACGCACGCACGCACGCACGCAACTCGATAGCATAGTATATCTAGCGCTACGCGCAGATACAAAAACCCAACTCTACATCGGATAAAATGAAGTATACTACACGGAATAATTGCCAAAATAACTAGTTCAATTAAGAACAACATTTCATTGTTGCAGTAAGCTGCCTGGCTTTATGGCACTTCAGACAAACTGACTTCCACGTCTGCGGATTTTCCTAGTCAAACACGGTTAATGTTGCGGAGTGGTAATAATTTATAGGACATGATTTAAAGCTCTGGAATGATGTTCTGGTTTCCGTAGTTCATCTGCCAGGCAGTTCCATACACGCGATACTCGTACAAGATAACTGTTCTGATGACATAGCGTTCTGACTTTAGGAATGTTATATTTCACAAGAGAGTTATTAGAAGAGCGTAGATTTATGGTTGAAGTCTGAGTGTCAAATTGTTCGGGTAGGACATCAGTTTTAACCAAGCCATGTGTGCATTTGAAGAGGAATAGGATATCAAGATATTCGTGCCAGTAACAGAGAAGTAGCATCTTCAACGCAGCGAGTCTCGTTTTGTATGGCATGTCCGTTTGGAATGGTAAAGACAGTACGAATTTGGTCGCTCTACGTTGTATGCGTTCGAGCTCCATACACATGATGATAGTCTGTGGACATCACACTTGTGAGGCATAAGCAAGATGGGATCTCACAAGTGTAAGGTAGAGACAGCGTCGGGTATTTACGTTTTTAACCTTGATAGTCGAACTTTTGAGCACACCAAGCAGGCGGTTGGCTTTCGTAACTTGCACGTAAATATGAGTGTTCCATCTGAGATCTGAACAAACCGTCACTCCGAGGTCTTTCTGGGAGGAAACATGCTGCAAAGTTTTACCGTTGACAATGTATTCAGCAACAAGAGGATGACGTTCTCTCGTAATGCTCAGAACTTTGCATTTCTCGGCATTGAATTTGAGCCTCCAAAACTCAGCCCATTTCTCCACGTTTCTCGCTTCAGCTTGAAGGACACAGGCGTCAGCCGGTGATTCAACAACTGAGATGAATTTTGTGACGTCGGCAAACAAGGAAACGTCAACAGCGGGTGAGGTTATTGATTCAGGAAGGTCGTTTATGTAGATGAGAAACAGGAGTGGTCCGAGTATTGATCCTTGCGGAACGCCGGAAGAAACTGGACGTGTCTCTGAAATCTCACCATTGACTAGAACGCGCTGTTGACGTCCGGATAAATAACTTTTAAACCACGTTAAAATATTGTCCCTTAAGTCCAAATCGTTGGAGTTTCTTTAAAAGAAGGTTATGATTTACCGTGCCAAACGCTTTAGCAACATCGAAATACAAAATATCTGTTTGTTTCCCTGAATCCAGGTTTTGACTGATCCGGTGAAGAACGGAAATGAGCTGACCTGTGCAAGACTTTCCTCTCATGTTTAATGAAATTTTGTTTCTTGGTTATCTAAAAACCTAATGCATGGTATGCTGTTCATCAAAAAATGTGATTGAAAGGAAGACATTTAATAAGAAGTACAACGTATGATCTTTCTGTAGTCCCTGGGAGCAAATACTGACATGATCGCATATGTAGATTATGTAAAATTGTAAATACTTAAAAATAATTGCGTTTTAACTGAGTTTCCTTTAGATGATTATCCTCAAAATAAAGCAAATGTTTAATTTAATAGATTATTAGCATTGAAATAGGGGTGAGCAGGTGAGGACATGTTAGGCTTCGTCGAGAGTAACGTCTGTTCACAGGCTAGGACATGTTGGTTTTTAGCGGATTACTCACATGGTTAAACATGGATTTAAGATCATGCACATTGTAATATAACTTTATAAGTGCCTCCACAAAACGCTGGGAATACCGTTTTAGTGTACCAAAATTTAGAAAAAATGTCGGGTAGGATACCTCCGGACCTTCCTAGTTTGTAGTACGTCCCCCCTCCCCACTTTTTGGGATAGATTGACGCGTTTGATGCTGTGCAACGGATATCAAGTGATGGAGTGCGCACATTATTCTGGTAAGCGGATTGGTATATTATCTGGACCAGATGCTTTGCTAGGATCGAGGTAAGGAAGAACGTCATATACTTCACTTGGGTCTAAAATAATGTCAGAAATAGTCTCTTCGCATACAGGTGAGGTGGGGATTGAAATATCATCACCTTCTGTTAGAAATACTGAGTGGAATAATCATTGAACATTTCTTCAGCTTGTTTTAGACTAGTGAAATCTAAGCGTGAGACGTCTGCGTTGTTTGTCGCGAGGGAAACTTGCTGTGGAATACGGCTGGATTTAGTGGTTGTTTTAAAAAATGACCAGAACAGTTTCGGATTGGATGGTAGAGCTTAACTTAGGGAACAAAAGAAATTTTCCCGACTCTCTTTGATGTACGGCGGAGATTCTTGTATTTCTGTATACAAGTGCAGCAGAATTTGTTCCGCGATGGACTTTTCGCCGTAGTGTTTCTTTCTTTTTGATCAATGATTTAATCTCACCAGTCAACCATGGTGGATTGTATCTTCCTTTTACAATCTTTGTTGGAATACATTCGTCAGCTACAGCAAGGAAAGTGTCTCTCCATAAATTCCAGTTCTCGTTAATGTCCGACATCGATGTGGGATCGCTAAATTCAAATTCAATCGATTCATAAGTACGGTTCATTTTTTTCAAAATCCGCACGGTTCAGGGCTGCAAATTGCTGTCGGACAACGAACAATGTCCGAATAAATTTGGCAAATGTCGGAGCAAAAGTAATTTTGATCGGACATTGGTCAGATCACAAAAAAAATTGTCACATTATACATTTTGCAATAAAATTTACGAGGCATTCTAGCATTTTACTTAAACGTTGCGCCGGAATGGCTATACATACTTGTCTCGCGAATGTACGAGTAGGTTTGTGTATACGAAACGCAAAGAGTGCTCAGTATCATAAAGATAGAGCAAATGTAGAATTTCGCTTACCTCAAAATTCCGCAACAGTCTGTTTCATCAGTAAAGAATCATCAGGCGGTATGACAAGTTTCGAAAATAGGTCTGCTTATATGTGTTTTGGCCGGAATGTGGGGGGGGGGACAAAGCATGCACTGTCAATTGCAGTTGTTCGAAAAACGCAATATGCCCACTTCAGAAACAATGCATGACTAAGGACATAGTATACAAAGCAACAGTCACAACAAGCAACCCTAACACGATCATGAATTATATTGGCATGACATCAACTACATTTAAAGAGCGTTTGGCTAACTCAATAAAGAGCACTCAAACAAAACTGAGCTTTCGAAATATATTTGGACATTGAAAGATAGCAAGAAAGATTTTAATATCAATTGGCAAATTTTGAAACGCGCTATTTCGTATACGGGAGGATCAAAACGATGTAATTTATGTTTAGAGGAAAAATTTTGTATTTTGAAAGAAAACCAAAACTGTTTACTCAATAAAAGAATGGAAATTATATCTACGTGCAGACATAGGAAGAAATTTCGCGTAAACAACGCAAACAATACACTCCCACAACTCGATTAGGCATTTCCGCGTAAACAACGCAAACAATAGATGAATGCATGCTTTGTTTCACCCACACACACTCACATTCCGGCCAAAACACATATAAGCAGTCCTACTTTCGAAAATTGTCATACCGCCTGATGATTCTTTACTGGTGAAACAGACTGTTACGGAATTTTGAGGTAAGCGAAATTCTACATTTGCTCTATTTTATGATATTGAGCACTCTTTGCGTTTCGTATACACAAACCTATTCGTATATATATATATATATATATATATATATATATATATATATATATATATATATATATATATATATATATATATATATATATATATATATATATATATACGCACACACACTTAAGAACTAAACAAGACAGAAAACAAGTCAATGAATACTTCGTGGCCGGGTGCCCACAACAGCTTGTGAAGCCAATTGTTGGTTTTTGTCCGACCAAATCCAAGTTATGTCCAACCAAAATTAAAAGTGATCGGACAAATGTCGTGTCAAGTCAAATGTTTATTTGCAGCCCTGCGGTTGTAATCGTAAACCGATCTTTTGAGCTTATATATGCGTTTTTTAATGGCACACTATCACAAAAAAATTGAATTACAATGTGCTTACAATAATTACATAACTAAGTTAATAAAGATACAATAAGTCTAATACTATATTTACAATTTAAAAATTTAGGTGTGAGGAAAGTATATATTGTAATAGTTTAGATATTCAAAAACTAGTGCCATGATGACATATTTAAAACTCGAATCATACTTGGGAAAAAAACGTTTGTGAAAACGATCAGTTCTACATTTGAACAAAGACCAATTGTTAGCGTTACGTAAATCGTTGTTCACGTTTTCTCTAGTCAGAGGTAAGAGATAAAACAGGCGGTTGCCATCAGTTATCTTTTTAATCGTTCTTTCACACAAAGCATCGCGTCTCTCATCTAGGCGAGAACAATGGAGCTGACTCAAAGCTTCACGGTAAGACCTGCCAGGGGGGATTATATTCAGTGCTCTTTTCTGAACTCGTTCAATTGAGTCCGCCAGATAAGCTAGTAGATTGTTATGCCATACAATGCAGCAGTACTCTAGTACGAAGCGAATGAGGGCATAGCAAATAAGGATCAGTTCGTGAGGTGGGATTCCACCCCGTTTAAGAACTCTAAGAATATGAAAACGCTTGGAGGCCTTTTTAACAATCATGGCAATATGCCCATTCCATTTAAGATTATCCTGTATAACCAAGCCAAGAACCCTATGATGGGAAACGATTTACAGGGGGTGTCCCCTCAAATTGAGACGTTCTAAAATGGGTCGCTCTTTAAGGAAACAGACGTGCATCTCTTTGCATTTCTTTGGATTTAGCTTCATTAGGTTGTTGTCAGCCCATGTGTTGACCTCATCAAGGTGATGCTGCATAAGGGATTCACTGTTTCTTGACAGGGACTCTGAAATGGATACATCATCCATGAATTTCCAAGTACCAGTATTCCCTGGGGATGGGATCTTTAGATCGTTGATCGTAATCAAAAATAAGATTGGAGGTGTTGCTGTACCTTGAAACTCAAAGAGTAGGCACTTGTGGTCGGAAAACAAATTGAAATTGGTTGGATCAATTACTTCAATGTTGTTAACGTTGTCTGGAATATTTGTCAGGATAAGATCAAGAACCTTAGTTTCTCTTGTTGGAGCGAAGATCAATTGACTTAACTAATGGTCGGATAAGGTGTTGTAGAAAAATCTCTCCGATTCACCGGTTTGAAAAACCATGCTTTCAGAGGTTGAAGTTGAAATCACCAGTCATTATAATTTTCTCGTAGTGTAGGTGTCCATGATGTAATCTAAGAACTTTTTAAAGGAGAGAGGCCATTTTGACGAGGAGTCAGGAGCTCTGTAGCAGCAGATAACAAGGATTCGCGCATTGTTTGTGGCGCATTCAACGCAGACGATTTCTAGTTCGGTATCTAATTGATTGAAGCATACTTGCTTGGTTTCTGTAAAAGAAGACTCTTTTGTAGCTATTATAAGGAGCCGAATAAAGTCATTCTACACGTAGGAACTAACGATTTAAAACATCTATCTGCAAGAGAGTGGCTGAAGGGATTGCAAATCTCGCAACCCAAATCGAAGAAGATTCCCCAGCAACCAGCATTGTGATCTCTAGTATATTACCATGATCAGATAAATCTGAACTATCGGCAAAAGCAACAGAAGCTAACAAACTTATTAAAGCAATATGCTCTAAAAATCAATGGGCATTCATTGATCATAAATCAGTTCATTTGTCTTGCCTAAACACAAGAGGCTTGCACCTTAATCGTAAAGGAACTTCTGTTGTAGCAAAGAACATTTCTAAGTAGCTACATTAATTCCTGATAGGAAATTGCCGTAAGACAGTCAGTTAATTCTTTATCCGCATCTCATATTTCTAATACCGAAGCCCCATGCATATACTATAGATTATTCAGCCATGGTCTTGCAATTGCTTGTCTATAAATATAAATAGTTTGTTAGCTCACATTGATGATTTAAGAATCTTTATGGACAACTGACAATAGTAAAATCGATATACTATCTATAAATGAAACTATAAGTTAGATTCGTCCATCACCAATAGTGAAATCCATCTTTCAGGCTATGATGTTGTTAGGCTAGACCGTAAGGTTAATGGTAGAAGTGGTGGTGGTGTTTGTATGTATATACGAAGTAATCTAAACTTTCGAATTCGTGAAGATCTGGCTAATAATGATCTTGAAATCCTAATAATCGAAATTTCTAATCCTCGTTCAAGGCCGTTTTTGGTGGGTACTTGGTATAGACCTCTTAAACTCGTCCCAACAATTATTTACTTTATTCGAGGAAATTATCGATAAGATATAGATGCTGGGAATTCCGAACTGTATTTACTTGGAAATTTGAATTGTAACCTATTGCCAAACACACCAAATTCCAACACGTCTGAGCTTTTGAATATATTTGATATTTACAATCTTTCACAGACAATTGCTGAACCTACCAGAATAACTAATACCTCACAAACATTAATCGATTACCAATAATCTTGATAAAGTAAAAGCTTCCGGTGTTCTTTCCCTTGGTATAAGTGATCATTCTCTGGTATACCTTATTCGGAAATGTACATATCATAAGGCAGCGGTAAATGCTTTTGTTGAAAAGAGAAATTTCAAAAACTTCAATGAGCGTGCATATTTGAATGATTTAAATAATCTAAATTGGGAGGAAGTTTCTCTGCATAACGACCCTAATGATATGTGGACTGAACGGTTGAATTTGTTTATGTCTGTGATTGATAAACATGCCCCACTTAAAAAGAAACGTATATAGGGAAACGAAAGTCTCCATGGATTACTTCACATGTAGTTCAGAAAATTCGCGAAAGAGATTATCTAAAAAGGCAATTCGATATTACACGTGACGATGAAATTTGGTTACAATAGAAGAAAGCTCGAAATGAAACTAACAACACTATTAGGCAGGCTAAATATAAATATTTTATCACTAATATTGAGGCTGCACGAAAAGATCCAAGGAAAACTTGGAGACTAGTCAACTATCTGAACTCTCGTAAAGTGAGTGATGTAACCAGTGTCAAGAAAGTCAATCTTGACGGTAATGAAATCACTAATGCGGCTGAAATTTCGGATGCCTTTAATTCATATTTTACCTCGATAGCAAAGAAACTTGCGAACAAAATACCTATAGCTCTAATGTTAATCCCGTTTCTTATATTCAATCCACACATACTGTGTTTTCTTTCGAGGAAATTGGTTTGTGCACTGTAAATGGACGACTTGCGCTTTAGACTAAATTTTAATCTAAGTAAGAACAACGAAATCTATCACCACAGCTAGAAAGAGCGTCTTGGAATTAGTAATATTAAAAAGTTTGGTTGCGAAATGTTGTAAAATACGGAAAATATAGCCCTTCAAAGTTGGCAAATTTGTATACTTTTGTATTACGTGCGTGAATTGGTAACTAAATTAGTTACCAATTTCCGCACGTAATAGAAATGTATACAAATTTGCCAACTTCGCAGGGCTATATTTTCCGTATTTTACAACATTTCGCAACCAAACTTTGCAGTTTTTCTAATTTTGATAACTTCTTTCCGAAAATAT